CTTATATATATATCCGACTGGATATCATATGTTTATATATAGTGCAAATCACCTGTCATTAGCTTATATATATATGTAATTGGCGGACAACAGCTTATATATATACTAGATTGGTGGTCAACAGCTTATATATATACCAGATTGACTATCATCAGCTTATATATATATTAGATTGGCTGTGATCTACTTATATATGTATGAGATAGACTGTCAATAGCTTATATACATATAAGATTGACTGTTAATAACTTATATATATATACCAGATTAGCAGTCAACAGCTTATATATATGCCAGATTGGCAGTCAACAGCTTATATATATACTAGATTGGCTAATATCAGCTTATATATGTATGAGATAGACTGTCAATAGCTTATATACATATAAGATTGGCTGTTAATAACTTATATATATATACCAGATTGACTATCATCAGCTTATATATATACTAGATTGGCTAATATCAGCTTATATACATATGAGATAAACTGTTAATAGTTTATATATATATAGCTGATTGGCGGTCAAAAATTTATATATTTACCAGATCAGCTATCATCAGCTTATATATATATCAGATTGAGTATCATATGTTTATATATAGTGTAGATCACCTGTTATCAGCTTATATATATACCCAATTGGTGGTCAACAGCTTATATATATATCAGATCAACTATCATCAGCTTATATATATACCTGATTGGTGGTTAATAACTTATATATATACCAGATTGACTGTTATCCACTTATATATATATAAAATTGATTGTTATCTACTTGTATATATATGAGATTAACTGTAATTAGATTATATATATATCAGATTGATGCTTATTGGCTTATATATATACCAGATTGATGATTATTGGCTTATATATATACCAGATTGATGATTATTGACTTATATATATACCAGATTAATAATTATTAGCTTATATATATATATCAGATTGGCTGTCATCCACTTATATATATAACAGATCAGCTGTCATCCATTTATATATATAGCAGATCAGCTGTCATCCACTTATATATATATCAGACCGGCTATCATCTACTTATATATATAGCAGATCAGCTGTTATCCACATATATATATAGCAGATCAGCTGTCATCTACTTATATATATAGCAGACCGGCTGTCATCCACTTATATATATAGCAGACCGGCTGTCATCCACTTATATATATAGCAGATCAGCTGTCATCCACATATATATATGGCAGATCAGCTATAATCAGCTTATATATATATAGCAGATCAGCTGTCATCCACATATATATATAGCAGATCAGCTGTCATCCACATATATATATAGCAGATCAGCTATAATCAGCTTATATATATATCAGACCGGCTGTCATCCACTTATATATATAGCAGATCAGCTGACATCCACATATATATATAGCAGATCAGCTATAATCAGCTTATATATATATCAGACCGGCTGTCATCCACTTATATATATAGCAGATCAGCTGACATCCACATATATATATAGCAGATCAGCTAAAATTAGCTTATATATATATCAGATTGGCTGTCATCCACTTATATATATATCAGACCGGCTATCATCTACTTATATATATAGCAGATCAGCTGTCATTTACTTATATATATATTAGACCAGCTGTCATCTAATTATATACATAGCAGACTAGCTGTCATCCATTTATATATATACCAGATTGGTGGTCAACAGCTTATATATATGCCAGATTGGTAGTCAACAGCTTATATATATGCCAGATCGGCAATCAACAACTTATATATATGCCAGATCGGTAGTCAACAGCTTATATATATGCCAGATCGGCAATCAACAACTTATATATATGCCAGATCGGTAGTCAACAGCTTATATATATGCCAGATCGGTAGTCAACAGCTTATATCACTGGAAAAATAAGGACAATTAACATATTGTCCAGGTAGTCGGATCATAGTGGATATGTCAGGATTTTTTTTCATCTCAGCAGTTTTTTTTCATCAAGTTGGGGGTGTAGTTTTGATGTATTCTATTGGCTTAAATAAAAATAAAATAAAAATAAAATAAAAAATACGTTTTGGTTTACTATAAAACCGTATCAAATGAAATATTTGTAGCACTCTTGTTTCCTTTTTTATTTTATAATTCAAAATACATATACTATGTTTCCTTCTATTCAAATGCACAACACTGATTGCCACTGCACCAGATGCAATAATAATGATCAAGGAGTTTCCCGAGTATCGAGACGTACTGCTCAGCGTCATAATAAAAGAGCTAGATTTGAAGGTACTGAGATATTCAAGAGTTGTATAATTTATTCAGTGCTGTTATCTGTCTACCGAGTAATAATCGCTTTTATTTTTATTTTTTATTATTTTAAAAAACATAGCTGAAAAGAGAAGCATGGAAGTAGATACTGAAAGTAAGACATTTTTTATATGAAACGCAGAAGAAAAACTAATAATAAACTATTATATTCCATATTTGTAGTAATCCCGACGTATCAATCCGATTCTGTGGAAGCAATGGACGGTCAGGCCAACTCACCTATTTCGGATGCCGTCTCAACGTTTGACAATGACGTCTTTGTTGGTAATGACTACAATGGTGATGAGTCTGACACGACCGATGACAATGACAGTGATGACAATGGCGAAGAAGACACTGCCGAGATTTATGTTGAAGAGTTTAACAATGAGGGTCAGTTTTAAATACATAAAAAAAAACTAAAAAAAATGTGTGTTAATTTTTTTTTTTTAAAAAAAAGACCCTTTTGCTGCTTCTGGTATGCCCGAGAATCCAGTGCACAGATTTATTGCTACTTTTACAGTACTGTTTGCATCTCGTTACGTGGTCAATAAGGGTTCTGTTGTCTTGATTGAGTTCATCAACGAGCTCTTGAAGATTTATGGACAAGATTTCCAACTTCCCGAAAGTCTGGCTGGGCTACATAAAATGACTGGCTTTTCGTCTATCACCAAAGGCATCAAGCGATTTGTGTCATGTCCAAACTGCCATTGCATCTATGAAGAAAACATGTCCGTACCTCCCCATTGTGTTTTCACAAATGTTGGTGCACGCTCTCCTTGTGGTTGTAAGTTGATGAAAGAGTCAACTTCAGGTGCACTGGTATCAAAGCGAGCATACTTGTACCAGTCCCTCAAGCAAGCTTTGTCTGTTCTTTTCCTTCGTCCTGGTTTTGAAGAGCAAATCCGTCACTGGAACACGGAGCTTAAGATTGTCGATACTATGTGCGACGTATACGATGGAGCAATGTGGAAAGAGCTGAAGGATGCAAGTGGTGTCTCGTTTGTTGCTTGTCCTCGCTCATTGATGTTGACACTCAACATAGACTGGTTCCAGCCGTTCGATGGAGTTAGTTACTCTTCTGGTGCAATTTACTTGGTTGTAAATAATCTGCCTCGAGAGGTACGGTTCAAGCCTGAGAACACAATTCTGGTTGGTTTGATGCCTGGTCCCAAGGAGCCAAGATGCGAGGAGATAAATAACTATCTCAAGCCCATGGTAGACGAGATGAAGCAGTTGTATGTTGGAATGCGAGTCCCGACCTACGAGTGCCCTTCTGGTGCTAATGTCCGTGCTGCCTTGCTGATGGTTGCGTGTGACATCCCTGCTGCCAGGAAAACAAGTGGATTTACAGCCCACAATAGTACATGTGCGTGCTACAAGTGTACAACCCAGTTCCCCAGATTGCCCAACACAAATCAGGTGGACTTCAGTGGATTCGATTATTCGCTTTGGAATATTCGTAGCGGTGTAGAGAACAGGTTGCATGCTGAGGAGTGGAAGAGTGCGAGTACACCCTCAGAAAGGCACCAGCTGGAGGTCGAATATGGTGTTCGATGGTCGCAGTTGCAACGCCTTGGATACTTTGATCTAGTACGTGGAACGATCATTGATCCCATGCATAATTTATTCCTGGGGACGCCCAAGAGAATGATGGACCGGTGGGTCGATAAGAAAACGATTGGAGCCGAAGAGTTTGCTGCCATGGAAAAAATCGCAGAGACAATGGTTCTTCCGAGGGATTATACAAAGCTGACATCGAAGATTGGAAAAGGCTTTCCTTACATGAAAGCCGACGACTGGAAATCCTGGGTACTGGTGTATTCTCCTGTTCTGCTGCATGGTGTTCTACCATTTGAAATGTACAACAACTGGATGAATTTCGTCCGTGCATGCCGCTATCTTATCAAGCCAAGCATCACATTTGATGAAGTGAACAGCGCCCACGACTATCTGGAAATGTTTTGCAAAAAGGCTACCGAACTCTACACTCCCACCATCCTCACCTGCAACATGCACCTGCACCTCCACCTTCGCGAGACCATTCGTGATTTTGGACCCGTGTACGGTTACTGGCTCTTTGGGTTTGAGAGATACAATGGCCTGTTGAAGCATATAAAGACAAACGGAAAAGATAGTTTTGAGGCAACATATATGAGAAGTTTTGTTCAAAACGCATTCAAGGGTGACTATGCCAATGCTGTTCTGAAAAGTTCTAGCCACGTCCCCTTTTTCAACATTCTCTCAAAGCTTTCTCCGAAATTCACACCTACCACCACAGTCATTACTCTCTCCTCCCGTCCATTCCGATTGCAATCATTCTTACTAGCATCGTCCAACCCACATCTTCCTCCAAAGGGTAACGAACCTCTCCCTCCTTCGACTTTTCCTCTTCAGCTAAAAAAATCATCACTGATGGATGAAACCGACTATGCCCATCTGCTTCAGCACTACAAAACATCCTATGATCTTCCCGACCTTGTCAGTTACCAATATGCCACGCTCACAAACTCCTTTGTTGACAATGAAATCACAAAGTTGAAGTTCATTGACTTACTTGGTCAACAGTACCGTGGTAAAAACGGTTCAGCTAGTTGTGGTTCTCTTGTCCACATAATGTTTGTTGGTAGTGACGGTAGAAATACCCTAGCCTATGCTGGACAAATACAGTATCTCTTCACACACTCCTTTACACACCCTTCTAACAGCAATCTCCACCTGACTCGCATGGTTCATGATCATCGACATGTATTCGCATATATCAAGTGGTTTAATACTTCCTCTGATAGATCGCGTGAGGATGACGGTCTTGAGTTTTGTCTCCCCACCTTCTCCCCCGATAGTCGCCATTGCATTGTACCTGTGCACCGCATCTTTTTAGAGATTGCTACAGCCAGGATTACTACAAGTAGAAATGTTAGTAAGATGTTAGTAATTGCTTTGCCAAAAAAGCTTTATGCTTAAAATAAAAAAAAACCCCCACTTGAATTTCCTTTTCTTATACAAAAAAAAACAGAACAAATTCCCTATATATATTGATAGTATTGTGTATGTAAAAAGTAATACGTAGATAAAAAGAGAGAAACATTTTTTTTTATTTAGAGCCCGTCTCTAAGAGCCCACCGAGGAAAATTGGGGCTAATGTTATCCGGGACTGCTGAGTTGGACACACTAGTAGTGATCCTACGGATCCTTTGATTAGCACTTGACCCCATGGCCTGGACAGCATAAGTGTCAACAAGTGCAATGAAACGGTTGCACTGAAATACATTCGTTAATAATTCACTCAATATAATAATACACCAATACAAACGTATTACTCCAAATTAATCTACCTCATCGCTTCTCCAGCCTGGTTGTACAATATGAATGACATATTTTATGCCATCCTCGTCCATTTCATCGGCAGACTCTCCATCTGACATTACTGCTTTTTGGAGAGTGTTGGCACAGTCTCTGAGCATTACAAGATCAATTGCCTCCTTATTGTCTTTGTAGGCCAGTACACGGCGACACTCATTCTAGTAATAAGTTTTGTTAATTTGTTATTTTTATTTTTAATTTTCAACTATAAACTATATATATTAGCATAATACTCACATCATCTGCACGGGCTGCTCTTCGTGTAAGAGCGTTTGTTTCCGCTATCTCATCATCAGACATTCTCTCACGACGGGTTCTACTAGTGAAGTTGGTGTGCAACCTCTTTCGGAGGTCACTCCGTCTCATACTAGAGGAACCAAACCTGCGCTCAAGATTAGAAAGAAGTCTCTCGGCTATCTCCCTGTTGGGAGATTTGTTGAAAGCAACATTTGTATCCCATCTGGGCTTGAGGTTGTTGGCCAGGATATTTTCTGGCGTTCTCAAGCTAAGCTTGGGTTTCCACATAAGGTTGTGAATATGAGCCTGATAAATAAATCATGAGAAAATGAATTGATAAAATATTTTATAATATGTTACTCACATAAACTGCATTAGATTCTTCACGGGTAGGCTCATGGTTGGAGATGACAACAGGTGCAGCAACAGTGAGTTCGGCTCTCACAGGAGCAGCAAGGGGAGTTCTGGCCAAACTATCTATGGCACTGATGGTGTTGGTGCTGGTGGTGGCAAGAACGCCAATTCTGCCATTCATGTTGGTCAGAGTTTGCTCAACATTGCCGATCTGTCCTTTTACGGTAGACATATCAGCTCTCACAGTAGAAAGTATTTCCATAAGCTGCTGATTGGTAATCTCAACAGGACGAAGGGCAATTGCGCGTTCACGTCTTGTGTTAGTCATTGTCTACAGAATATAATAAAATGAAAGGTTATAATGATTAGTTTCAGATTATATTATTATTATTGCTGTCATTCTACAATTAAATTTATGTAAATTTAATTAAAAATAAATCGTATCAAGTTTACATACTTGAATTGTTAGAACAAGTGTATTGATTTGGGAGTATAAGTGTAGTAAGTAGCAAGAGAGTAAGAGCAAGGGAAAGTGTATTATATGAAAGGTATGATTATTATATATATTCAAAATATATTTGATATACGAATCTCTATTAATACTTCTTGTAATGACTGGGATGTAAATCGGTTTTCATATTGCTTTGGGACTTGATGAAATCATTTTAGTCTTTTGTTTTAAACACACTTTTTTCTTTTTTTTTTAAGATTTTTTTTTTTACTTTTTTTATTCGTTTTTTGTTATTTCCCTCTTTTCTCTCTCTTTTCAATTCTTGTTATATTTGCAAATTTTTCTGGTAAGATTGTTTTTGGTTCAAAATACTTCTTTACAAAGAACAAAAGAATTAATTTTTTTGTCTGTCATAGGTATTCTATCTGTTTCTCTCTCTTCACTCTTTACACTCGCAAGGTTTTATGGTAAGGCACTTTCTTTGTTTTAAAAGAAATATATACTTCTTTATGTATAACTAAAAAATAACAATATATTTTAATGTCATAGAAACTCACTCTTTGTCTCATTCTGATGCGCCATCTTCACAACAGTCATCCGGATTAGCCAGGGTTAGTAAATATACTTTATGCCATCATTCCATACAATCATTCTGACTTTTTTCTTTCTTTAATATAGGCCACATCGCCAAAAATACTCTCTACAATCAAACACGGATATTGACATGGTAATATTCTATTTTATTTTAATCTATTTCTTTTTAATATTTATCTAACTGAATATAATTTCTATTATAGATGAACATCCCTCTTACGAACGTGCCATTCCTCAAGAACTTCCATCCCATGCTACCGTCATTGCCATGGTAAGCCTTTTATTTACTTCTATAAATACAATAATATTATTTATACTGTATATTAATGTATATTCTCTACTAGAGACGATATTACCACTTTACAGATAATATCTTGGTCTGCAAAGAAATCCTTTGCCTTTGGTATGTAAATCAATTATTCTATCACGCAATTCACAAAAATTAATTCTTTCCTATCGTTTTATAGTCAAAGAAATCATAATCCCGTGCTTTACTGTAAATGTTTTATTTCTTTGTCCATTTGTACTGGGTACTTCCAATGTAAGTATTAATTAGTCCATAAAATTTGCAGTATAAAACACGCACGCACTCCCATCACTAATGTTTTATCTATTCTCAAAGAGTACTGCTCTTACCCCTAAAAAAAGGTAACGAGCACCTCATTTTCTTCAGGTATTTGTTTTTTGTAGAAAATTTTTCATCCCAAATATAACAAGCTTGCCGAGCAAGAAGTAGCTGAGGATATAGAATAGCTTTATTAGATTTGAAACCTAGAAACATTCTATTCTTTCCAATAAAAATAAAAGCGTAAACCATTACCAACCTAACAAGAACGGGAAACCAAATAAATAAAGAACATATTACTGGTCCATAATTTTAAAGACGTGTTTTTATGCTGTTGATGATTGGAGGTTTTAAAGAACTGTCAGTATAGGTGGTCAGTAAAGGTGGTCAGTAAAGGTGAGGTGTAGTACAGATAAACCATTGGAGCAATATACATGATGTAATCCGTCTTTGACCTTTCCTGTTCTGTGTCAAGAATACCGAGATAAATCCGTAGTTTTAAATATTTTTATTTATTTATTAAGCATAACGAGTATATCAAAAGTGCTACCAAACCTTACTTGCGGAACCCCCCATCTACATATACTGTAGTGTTTGTAAGTCTCGCACATACAGTGCTAGATGACCTTAAAACCTAGTGGAAAAAAATATCAACTATGATATATCATGTTATTCCAGTACCGTTTGCCCATATATACACGTCAGTATTTTTCTACTTTTTTCCAGTGTATATATGCCAGATCGGTAGTCAACAGCTTATATATATGCCAGATCGGCAATTAACAACTTATATATATGCCAGATCGGTAGTCAACAGCTTATATATATGCCAGATCGGCAATTAACAACTTATATATATGCCAGATCGGTAGTCAACAGCTTATATATATGCCAGATCGGCAATCAACAACTTATATATATGCCAGATCAGCGATCAACAACTTATATATATGCCAGATCAGTGGTCAACAGCTTATATATATACCAGATTGGTAGTCAACAGCTTATATATATGCCAGATCGGCAATTAACAGCTTATATATATGCCAGATTGGCAATCAACAACTTATATATATGCCAGATTGGCGATCAACAACTTATATATATGCCAGATCGGCGGTCAACAGCTTATATTTATCCTAGATCAACTATCAATAGCTTATATATATATGAGATCAGCTATAATTAGTTTATATATAGTGTCAATTAGTTGTTATCAGCTTACACAATCTTGCATAATATTGCATAATTATATATAGGCACATATAAGAGAATTTAAACATATATAAAAATATAAAAAATAAAGTTTGTGTAACATACATCATTACGCATATTCGCATAATGTAAACTATACAATTGCATTGCTGAAAAAAATTGGTAACTTTTGGCTATACTTGTTATATAACGTGCATAATCATGCATAATCTCGCATAAATGATCTACGTAAACAATACCATTGAATTTGTGGGAAAAAATAACAAAAAATAGCTTTTTTCGCAAAAAATTTCCTTTTTTGGTTAGTCTGAATGCACCTAGTGTGAGAAGTCTTGACATTTTTAGTGTGGGAAGATAGGTTATATAAATAGCAACTATGTAAAAGCTTGGCATGGAAAAACATTTAACTTTAAACTATCAAAAAGCTGTTCAGACAATAATTAAATATATCTCTTCTAATGAAAGTTCAAATTCTTACTAAGTAATAATTTTTTATTTTTTTTTGCTATATAAAGAAAATTTAGTAGTATAATATAAAAGTATCAAAATATGTAAACAGCAAGTACAGAATTAATAAAAATTAATTTTCATATTTTTTTACTAATTTTCTTATAAAAATCAAAATATTATTATATAAATCAATAAAAAAATATATGAACAAGTCAACTTATTAATATTTATTATAATTTTAATGTATTTATATACTATATATATATATATAAAGATTATAAAAGAGTTGTGAATATATATAAAATTAAAGATTAAATATGATTAGAGTATGTAACTTATATTTGATGAGATGATTGGATATGACTTGGATATTGACAAGTGTGAATATATATAATGTGATAGATCCAATAGTATTGACTAATATCAGAGATAGATAAGATGTTATAGGCTAATATTAGTAATAAATCAAATGTTATTGGCTAATATTGATTATATATTAGATTTTATTAACTTATATAAGTAGTAAATTGGATGTGATAAATATATATATATAATACAGATTGACTGTTATTGATTTACATATATATCAGATCAGATATTATTTATTTATATATATACTAGATTGGTAGTATTCAGTTTATATATATATGAGATTGACTGTTATCTACTTATATATATATCAGATTGGCTGTGATCCACTTATATATATATCCGACTGGATATCATATGTTTATATATAGTACAAATCACCTGTCATTAGCTTATATATATATGCAATTGGCGGACAACAGCTTATATATATACCCAATTGGTGGTCAACAGCTTATATATATACCAGATTGACTATCATCAGCTTATATATATATTAGATTGGCTGTGATCTACTTATATATGTATGAGATAGACTGTCAATAGCTTATATACATATAAGATTGGCTGTTAATAACTTATATATATATATACCAGATTAGCAGTCAACGGCTTATATATATACCAGATTGACTATCATCAGCTTATATATATACTAGATTGGCTAATATCAGCTTATATACATATGAGATAAACTGTTAATAGTTTATATATATATAGCTGATTGGCGGTCAACAATTTATATATATACCAGATCAGCTATCATCAGCTTATATATATATCAGATTGGCTGTGATCCACTTATATATATATCAGATTGGATATCATATTTTTATATATAGTGTATATCCTCTGTCATCAGCTTATATATATACTCAATTGGCGGTCAACAGCTTATATATATACTAGATCGACTATCATCAGCTTATATATATATCAGATTGACTGTGATCCACTTATATATATCAGATTGGCTGTGATCTACTTACACTGCAAAAACAGATCAATTTCGCATATGTAAAGTATATCTAAGTTCTGATAGACAGAATAGATAAAATTGTAGTTCAGCTCACTTTTGTGAGTAAAGTATTTGAATAGTATTTTAAGCTACTCTATTGGCTACTGACAGCTGTGTAGCATTAGAATGCAATATCAAACTCAAATAAAATAAAAGTGTGTTTTGTTTGGTCTCTTTTTTTACTATTAAATACTATTGTAAACCTTTCTTTTCATTTTAAAATGGCTCCTATTCACAAATCCACTGTTAGAAAAGAGTGTCGATGTTCTATCTGTAAAAGCAAGACACTAGGATTCAATTGTATATCTGTTAAAACATTTAAATGTCATTAAAAAAAAGATAATCATGATATTACACATGTTCAAATGCGTACAGTTAATACATTTGCTTTACTTTACTATATTTTATTTTTTTTATTTTATACCATTTCCTTTTTTATTATTTTATATAATAATAATAATAATAATAATAATAATAATAATAATAATAATAATAATAATAATAATAATAATAATAATAATAATAATAATAATAATAATACTACTAATAATAATAAATGTGTAGCCCAAGAAGACATATGCAATATAATTAGTAGTACTGTTTCTGAGCCTGTAAATCAAGAGGAAGATAGTTTTGAATTTGAACAGGAAGATGTTGAAATGAATTCTGAGCTTAGAAGTAAGAAAACTTATTTTATTACATTGATTTATTTGGGACTGACATTCCACTTTTGTGAACCTAAATAACACAAATAATATTTTAGATATATGGACAAGAAACCAACCTTTCTCTGAAACGGATTGCATGTTTGTCCCTGAAAATAATGTTCAGTATACAAGTGACACTTATAAAGAAAACAAAGAATATGAAGATAAATCCGATGTTGAGATAGACAATGACAAAGGTAGGTATGCAGCTTTAGATAATATCATATCCTAAAAAATAGAGAGTTAATCAATGTTCTTTAAAAAAAATTAAATTAAAGATTCTTTATTGGAATCAATCTTGGAATTGAATTTGATTCACCAATTCGTTGTTATTTTGGTTACTCTTTTTGTCTTGCTATACGTCGTAGATGAAGGAGCTGTAATCCTGATTGCCATAATCAACAAGATCCTGCAGTTTTTGTTTGACCCATTCCATCTTCCCGTGAGTGTTGCTGGCCTCAAACATTTGGCCGGATTTGAAGTGTTGACAAGTGGTGTCAAGAAGTATGTTGCATGTAGTGAATGCTATGTCATGTCATATATGATAATGAAGCCGCCCCTTTGTGTTGTACATCACCCAATTTTGGTAAAACCCCCTTGTGTGGCAACAGCTTGTTTAAGTCTGGTATCAGATCAAAAGCACCCAAAAAGACATATGTATTTCACTCCATCAAAAAAGCCCTAAAGATGTTTTTTCAACATCCGGATTTTGAAAACAAAATCAACTCATGGAACAGCGGCCTAAAAATAGATAGCACTTTGTTTGACGTGTACGATGGTGCGATGTGGAATGAGATAGTAGACGTAAATGGTATACATTTTGTTGATACTGAGCAATCACTCATGCTCATGCTGAACATTGACTGGTTTCAGCCATTCGATAGTGTTATCTACTTCTGTGATGCCATATATCTTGCAATCAATAATCTTTCACCCAGGGAGCGGTTCAAAAAGGAGAGTGTGATTCTTGTTGGGTTAATGCCAGGGCCTAAAGAAGCGAGCACTTCTGACATAAATAACTATCTGAAACTGCTTGTCGATGAGTTGATGGAACTGTACAAAGGTATTAAAATTAAGACTCACCAATGTTCAAATGGCACTTCTATCTGAGCAGCCCTTCTCATAGTTGTATGTGATATATCTGGCACAAGGAAAGTATGTGGGTTCACATCTCATACAAGTACAAATGCATGCCACATGTGTATGTGTCCATTTTTGAGGTTGGCTGAAACTAGTTCCATTGATTATTCTGGATTCAATTTCTCAAAGTGGCTCTTTCGCACTAAGAATGACAATTATAAGAATGCAGAGATCTGGAGAAATGCAATCAAACCAACTGATAGACAGCGTCTTGAAGTTGCACATGACATTCACTGGTCCGAACTTTATAATCTTTGGTACTTTGACATTATTCACTGCGTGATCATCAATCCCATACACAATCTTTTCTTAGGTACTTCCAAAAGAATGCTGGAGAGATTGGTTACAGATTGACTAATCAACAATAAAAAACCCGTTGTTATGCAAAAGGCTACTGACAAGGTAGTGCTGTCACCCAATTACATGTCACTTGGGACAAAAATTGCCAAGAGATTTCCCTATATGAAGGCTGATGAGTGGAAGTTTTGTTGCCTTGTATACTCTTCTGTGATTCTGAGGGATGTATTGCTATTGCCAGAGTTTAAAAACTAAATAGAGTTTATTAACGCATGCAGATACTTCACCAAGCCTAGTGTTTCTGAAAAAGATATTGAGAAAGGCCAAAAATACTTAAAAGAATTCTGTAAAGGGTGTGAGACATTGCACGATCTGGACCTTCTCTCTCCCAACATGCATCTGCATCTGCATCTGCACTTACACCAAACAATGATTGCCTTCGGGCCCGTCTATGGCTATTGGCTTTTTAGCTTTGAAAGATATAATAGTGTTCTGAAAAATATCAAGACCAATCGAAGAAATGGGCTCGAAACAACATTTATGAGACAGTTCATTGAAGAGTCATGGAAGGGAGATTTTGTTTGTCAATTTCTGAAACCTATGCATACACTTGCGTGTTTTGAAATTTTTGATAAGTTCACCAATTACAACAACAACAATAACACCAACACTAACACCAACACCAACACCAACACCAATACCAACACCAAGACTAACCTCTCTCACTCTTTCTCAATTTCCAAATAACTTGAAGCTTCACAGAACCTTTCAATCACAATTTGTGGAAACGAGCCCCTGCCACTATCCACCTTGCCATTGAAAACAAGACCATTATCATTTATGCCAAAACATGAATATGATTGTTTTGTAGGATACTATCAAGCTGCGTACAAGAATTCACAGATCTCAGGTTGCAAAGATGTAATTGATGACTCACCTTTCGTCAATGACTAGATCGAAATGGTGAAGTCCATTGATCTTCCTGGGCAAAGCTACAAAGGGTGCATTGGCACAAATGGCCACAGATCATACATACAAGCATATTTCACTGAACGAACTGGGTCGGAACATGCGTATGTTGGAGAGATTCAGTACCTTTTTGTTCACAATTTTAGGTCAGCTGTTTCTTCTCTAACATACAGAAATTCCCATAGTAGTCAGCATGTATTTGCATTTGTCGAATGGTTCAAATCCACTTCAGACAAAACAAGAGAATTAGAAGGAGTTGAGTTGTTACAGGATGAATTCTACAAGCAAGATTTTCAAAGCATCCTGCCAGTACATCCGATTCTCCTAACAGTTGCAATAGTAGATTACAAAACTACAAAAAACATCAACAAAAAACACGCAATACCTTTACCAAAAAAAATTTACTATTAATTCTCATACACATACTTACTTATATATTTATTCTCTATTATTATTATTTCCTTTAATCAATTCAATTTCAATTATTACTATTTGGCTCTACAGCAGAACGTAGTAAAGAAAATGTTTATTTATCGTTGATTGCCCAACGAGGCAATGACTAGGACAGGGTGGCAGGAACAGAGCAAGGCAACAATGTTACTGGATATCTGTTCATTCTTGGCTTTGTTCCCACACCTGCATTTGACACGTGATGGGTATGATCAATGTCGTCAACCGTTGTCAGCAATCTGTTGAACTGTATTTATTTTTATTAGTTCTTTATTTTTCTTCTTATAAAATTTATTTATTCTAAATATTATTTACCTCTTCACTTCTCCAAGTGGGGTGAGCTACATGCAAACACCGTCGTAGAATATTGTCCACAATCTCAATATCCAACTCACCATCAGACATGGCATCGTTCTGAAAGAGTTTGAGATAGGCCTTCTCAACAGGTTTTCCAGTCTTATATCTCATTGCAGCATCAATGGCTACCCAGTTGTCCATGTATGTCGACTTGCGTCAGATAGACATCTGGTTATATAGATTGTAGCTTGAGAAAATAGTAATATACCAATTAATTTTTTATATAGTATATACAAACCTGAAGAGTACGACTGTTTGCTCTCCCCTTGCTGTTTTTCTTGGCATTTTGCTCAGGAGACTCGTGAAAAGTATAATGACTGTGCTTGTATATGTTCTTTATTTTATCACTTATCACCCATGGGTGAGTACCAGCTAGACGAGTCTGGACACTAATGTAGCTCTTCAAGTAGTTGATAACAGCTACATTATTGCAGTGGTTAATCTTCTTGTTCAAGTTCCACTTCTTCTTACTCTTGTTCTCAGCAACAAGAGCAGGGTCATCAGACTCAAACTTCTAGTCCCACAACTTTTCTGCGAAGATTTCCTAAATACAAGTTGTTTAATAAGCTGTTGATACTAACATATATTAATATTAATTACCGAGATAATGACAGAAACCTCGGCATCACTGAGGGAGGTCTGGGGGACATAGGATGGCATCAGAGATAGTCCTAGACTAGCCATACAAGTCTGATCGTTGGCATAGGCAGTTGCAAAGTCTGCAAATTCCGTATGTGTCTTTCCAGACGTGTCAATAACAACACCCATTCTGTTTTTAAAGGCTGTCGTGTTGCTATTGACAGCAGCAATGTCATCCTTGACACCATTGATACTGTTGTTTACTTTGTTAAACATTTCAACAATTTCCGCATATTGCTGATCTTGGATAGTTGCGGATGAGAAACTGGGGGCAATTTCTTGAGGTCCAACACGGCCAGCCAAAACACGGTTTGCAGAGGTAGATATACTTGCAGATGCTTGTTCTTTTCCTTTATGGTCTGTTTTTCTGCTGCTATTGGAAGGCATTTTTTCGTTATTGTATTTTTATTAAAGTTTTATACATTAATAAATTATTGAAATAAAATAAATGTATGGGTTGAAATATATTTATTTTTGTTTAATCAAAGATATACATATAAAATAAGTTAATATAAAGTAGATTTATGAAATAGCTGAGAAAAGGAAGGGATTATATATTATTTTCTATAAAATCCTTTATAACTTTGAACAACTTCTTTAATATTCAACATAGAACTTAGTGTTATAATATAATTTTGGACTATTCATTTTATTACTATTGTATTTTACTAGAGTCAATTCTCATCTAAACTGCCTTCTGTTTGAAAGCCTACTTTTTTTTCTTCTTTTTCTTTATTTTTTTCTTATTTCTTTTTTTCCTGTTTCTTTTCCACTTTATTTACTTTTATTCTGGTTGATGTATTTGAGTTCACACCCTGGTAAGCAATTTGTTTTTTTTATTCTATTGTTATATTTATTCTTAATGTTTTTTCTTTTATTATTATTGTGGTTGCTGATAGTATTACAAGTCTTTGCCATGTTGATTAATGGACAAGAACAAAAAGGTAAAACACGGTTATTGTGTATGTGTTTCTTTATTAATTATTTTCTTTTTCTCTCCTCAGCTCATTAGCTTCTCAGCTCATTAGATCCTCAGCTCATTAACTTCTCAGCTCATCATAAAGACATACCAACAGCAGAAATTTATCTGGTAAGTCTGAATAATGCATTTATTCACTTTATTCTTATATCTAATTTTGTTTATTTTCTATCTCTGTTAGTACTGTTAACATTTCTATGTACCTGATTCAATGACTTGTCTTTGAAAACCGGTTTTCTTTGGTAAGTAATAAAGTCAAACTTTATTTCATGATCTTTACTAACGCATTTTATTAAACCTTTCAGAATAACAGTCAATGTGCACTATGCCTGGTTCTGACAAAAGTACTGGTAAGTAATCATACTATTTAAATTAAAAAAAAATATTTATATAATCTAATATAATTGCATAATTTTTTAGCCTTCTCTTACTAGTAAAATACTGTAAACACGTGTTTCTTTTTAGGATTATATTGTATTGGAAGTATTTATATATTATAATATATGAAAGAGTTTGTTATTATATTAATTATGTAGTAGCCTATATATTAAATTAGACTATATATTGTCAAGATATACATATTATAAGCAAGAAGCTTTTTTTTTAAATAAAAACAATTTTTCCAAAACAATCCCTATAAAAATATTTAAAATGAAGTGCAAGAATTATTGCAGTAGTATGGCATGTGTGAATCCTATAGTTTAGCCGTGTATAATTGTCCAATAAAAGTGTTTAGATTCGGAAGACAGTATACATAAATCATGTTTCTTCTGTTAAATGATCCAATAGAATATCATTATTTCAGTAGACAGTTTTCTATCAAAAATAAATTTTTTATTGGAACCTCTGTTTCAAATCAAGTTTAACTTAATGCAACATCCAAAAAAAAGATGCCATAATTTGATTATTCTCTCTGCAATTAAATAGTTTAAAAGAACCTTACATCTCTATATGGATCATTATAAGTTCAGAAGTTACATGGACAACTCACAGGTAATATAATATATTGCGAATGGAGTCTATAAATACCAAATTCCAGAATTTAATTATTCTGTCACTCAGAATTTCCCATACTATCACATATGTGTAGAAATCTAATTCCCCAGTGCTTCTTAAAGATTGGGAAGACCTGGGCTTGGCGGCACAAACTTGGAACATATGACCATTGCCAGCAAACTGTAAATAATAAAGTAAGAATGGGTGAGACATGTGTTTTTACAGGTTTTAGCATTTCAGCTCTGATATGGTCTGGTCCTGGTACCTTGCGGTTAGGCATAAATTGCATGAATTCCTCTACAATTGGTGAGGTAAAGGGAGAGTCATCAGAGGCAAAAGGCACACTGTTACAAGTGGTCATTGGTGCTGGTGGTCGGGTTGCTGGAAGTATATGTCCACTATATACTGTTGCCAAATAGTCACACATTGTTGCTGCTGCTACGGCTGGTCCATCATCGTGCTGGAAAGTATGTTGCGGCTGTCTACGGCGTTTTAACTGCTTTATCTTTGATGTTGCTTTGCTGAAGTCACGTTCCATAGACTGACAAAAGACATGCCAAGACTGACGTTTTGCTTGCTGAACCTGAGATCGGAATTCGGCCTGTGCATGCTTGTGTTTAGTCCACCAAACAACTTTGTCAATACCTATTGCTAGGCGCCATTTTTTGTAACATTGGTTACGATGATCTGCTGCTGTTTGTAATGCCACATTCCAGAAGGATTTCCAATGGTTGGGGCGAGAGGGTCGATGTCCAATTGAGCTATTTAATGAGTCATAAATGAGTAAATTGAACTCATCAGTGATAGCATCAATGTTGGGTCTAGTGAGTGGTGGATTCTGTACAATGTCTTGCAAGGTGGAAAGGAGGGAGGTTGAGTTTTGAGTGAAAATATGAGCATAAAGAGCATGGACATCAGGTTCATTGAGGCGTGAGAGGTTCCATGACTTGCATAATGGTGGTGGCATATTGGTAGAGTGCTGTAGATCATAGGCAAAGGAAAGTGACAAAAGGCAATGATCTGATCCAAGGGACAAGTCAGTAGCAATATGAAGAGAAGGATTGATGAGTGGCATATTAGTTATCAAGAGGTCAATAATACTGCTGATTTCATAGTTGTTGCGGAAAAAAATATATGTTGGTATGCAAGGTGCAAGATCTGCATTTACAACTGATAGAAATCTCTCTTCTATCCAAGAACATAGTGCCAGTCCACGAGAATTTGATGCATAGTCACCAGTAACAGAGCCAAGTCTTGCATTGAAGTCACCACAAAGAATGGTATCATGTGTTAAAGGAATGGAAGAGAGTACATGTAGGACATCGTGAGTGGGCATATTTGGTGGAAGATATAAGCATACAATTCTGAGTGAGCCAATTTTGACAGCCAGAGCATATTTGGAGGGCATAGGTATTTGAGTGACGGCATAAGGACAGTGAGGTGATATGAGAACAGAAACACCCATAGAGCCCCTATAGGTGCCAGCTACAGGAGACCCATACAAGTGAATTTGTGACCATGATGTGGGAAGATGTGAGGGAGAGAGAAGCCATGTTTCTGTAATGAAGAGCATATGTAAGGACTGACAGTGTTGAAGGGTATCTTGAATGGCTCTGGGTTGCAGGCCATTGGCATTCCATAATCCGATATTGAGATTACTCATTCAGACATAGTGACTGATGAGCTGCGCTGACGTTTGAACAAAGACCCGCCAGTAGCATTGGTAAGAGTAGTACGTGTTGGTATTTCATCTTCACTGATCCACCCTTCCTCACAAAAGAAGTGACCAACTGGGATAGCAACGTGTGGGCGCAGGAACTGTAGGGCTTGGAGACATCTATCATGGTGAAGCATGGCAGCAGTGTTGGCAAGTTCATGAGTGGACAGAGATGCATACTTGGGATCAGCAACATTATCAGGATCAAGTGGATCAAATGCGTCCAAAATCTCAACAGAAGCAGTTGTCAGTTTGGCCTTAAATGTATCAGCATACTGGACATGAACAAGGATGCCAATGACACCTCTGGCTGGGAAGTTAATGTCCAAAAGTCGAGAAGAATCCACACCAAGAGTGCGGAGAGAGGAACGGACTTCTTTGTGCTTAAGGCGTCTTGATCTTGGAATATAAACATATTCATAACCTGAAGGACCAGAGGGAAGAGCAAACATACGGACAGAAGCTGCAATTCGGCGAGCAGAGGGAACAGTAGACATTTTTGGGGCAGTTACAGGAAGAGAAACACTGGCTTTAGTAGCCCAAGTGGAGGCTTCCAGACCTGGTTCTTTGTTTTTGTCAGGAGCACCTACTGCGCCGGCTGGGTTCGAAAGTGAAATTTCTGAAAAGTTTTTTTCAGGTGCACTCTGAGATCCTAATTGCTTCTGCAGATTAGCATTTGTTGCTCTAGCATGGTCTAATTCAGTAGTTAGTCTTGCATTCTCTGCTGCAAGTCGCTCCAACTGGTCGGTTCTGTTTTGCACATTCATGATTTGTGCCTGCAATGTTGTCAGGAATGAGGTAAGCTCGGTTGGCAATCCCTGCTTGTTGCCGATTTGCAAATTAGCCATTGGGATTGAGAATGCAGATGGCGTGATGTTGTCTGATTGAGCTGAAATTTTTTTTGCTGACAGCTGGGATACCAAGGACAAGAACTGCACTACTTTTGGCAATGGGAGGTACGTTTTTCGTGATGGATGGATCGTTTTGCGTAAAGATGTTGATGGATGGATACACTTTATATGTGGATTCGTCAAAAATAAAATTTTGGAACCAGGCAAATAAAATGCTTAAGCGAAAGAGCAGTGGGGATGTAGCTCAGGTTAAAGATTATATTTTATTAAAGGAGATATTGCTGGCGATCTATAGATCATATAGCCTCCAAAGTACAAAAAGAAGATATAAAAAAGTCCTAAGGGATCACAAAAGACAAAAAAAAGAGAGGGGAAAGAGAAGATCAAATCATACTAGCTTCAATGGCTGAATCTGCTCTCCACTTTGCAGCTGTGAAAATAGTTGTAACAGTGAAAGGGAGGAGACAGAATTGCAGAACAAAGAACTTTTCAGACAGCAAAGGACAAAAGAGAAAGAAGAGAGATAAAGGGAGTAAAGAACAATGAAAAGTGAAGAGCTATGAAAGAAAAGAAAAAGTCTAAATTATATCCAAAGAGCACCATGTTCAGTCTCATGTGAATAGTCACCATCAGGATTACATATAACATCTATGTGCCAGAGAATAGTCAGCAGTGGTATCCAGTAAGCAGGTCGCGGTTCTTGAGATGACAAAGGCAAGGATGTGATGGCAAAATTAATTCTGTGTATCTGATCTTGGTCAGGGGGGATGTAGCTCAGGTTAAAAATTATTTTTATTAAGGAGATATCGCTGGCGATCTATAGATCATATAGCCTCCCAAGTACAAAAGAAAAAGAAAAAAAAAAGTCCAAAAGGATCACAAAAGACAAAAAAATGAATAGAAGAAGAGAAATAAACAATACTAAGCTAAAAGACTGAACCTGCTCTCCACTTTGCAGCTGTGTAAAAAGTTGTAACAGTGAAAGGGAGGAGACAGAATTGCAGATCTAGAAACCTTTCATGAATGAGAAGACAAAAATAAGAAGAAAAGAAGTAAAAGAAAACAGATATTAAATTATTAGAGCTAGTGCCAGAGAGAACCATGATCGGTTTCATGTGTGTAGTTGCCATTAGGATTGCATAGCATGTCAATATGCCATAGTATTGTAAGAAGAGCTTTCCAATATAGAGGGCTTGGATGTGTAGACGAGATTGGTAGTGCTGATATAGCAAAGTCAATGATGTTGTCTTCATCTGTGGGTGGTGCTGGAAGTTGAGAGAACAGCTGAGATGGGATTGTGATGCAGAATTGGAGATGGCGTCTTGAAGTATGATCAAAGCCACATGCACACTCCTTTGGCTTACCAGGCAACCAGCCCATTCTCCAACGTACTAGACGGCCACGTTCTATGCGTGTAGCAGGAAGAAACAATACAGGATCAACTTCAAGAAGAGGGCGGCAAGCTTGGATGAGAATCTTAGTGTTGGTGAGACGAAAGTGAGCAAACTTTTCTTGTCTAAAAGACTCAAAGTGCTTGGATAGTTTTATGCGGCTGGAGCAATTAAGATCAGGGGGAATGCTGGCAAAAAGAGGGTTTGTGTGAAGAGTGGATAGTGTTGATGCTTGGAGATGATGAGAATGGAGCAGAGAGAGAAGACAACCAGAAGGAAGAGTGTGTGCCCGAAGACAAAATTTTGTTTTGAGAATGTCAACGCGAAAAGCCATACTGGGCAGGTTGCAGATATGTTTCAAGACTGCAGTAGATGAAGTTGCATGGCCGCCAACAATCATTCGCAAGCATTTATCTTGAATTTTCTCTAGAAGTAAAACATCTTTTTGCAAAAGACATGTGATTGCAAGACCATACTCGAATTTTGGTCGTATAAAGGTTTTGAACAGACGTGAACTTAAGAGCAAATTGAAACCAGATCTACATGCACCAACAGCAGTAAGAGTTGCCATAGCAGCCAATGCTCCAGAACGACGATGAGTGACAACAGACGGTCCAAAGATGCCTTTGTTACAGAAAGGTATACCCAAGTATATAAACTCATTTACTGCAGGAAGCAACTCGCCATACAGAGAGATAGTAGAACGTGGTAAAGATCGTGAAGGAGGATAGAGTACAGCACATTTTGAAGGACTCCAACGGTAGCCAAGCTGGAAGGAGTGTTGGGCAGCAAGGTCAAGCATACTCTGAACATCAGTGACAGAGCCAAAGATAGCAACATCATCAGCAAAAAGAAGACTGTTAATGGCAGTAGGCAAGTGAATGTGTTGAAAGTCATTCACATCTGATGGGGCAAGAAGAGAATTGTAAGCATCCAATGAGGAAGGAGAGGTTGATGGGATATGTGTTGAGGTGAGTGGTGATGCAACTGTGCGGAGTATTGGTGGCAGGGAGTTGATATAGATTGAATACAAATGTGGACTGAGAACAGAACCTTGAAGGACGCCTGTGGTGGGAGAAAAAGAATGAGAAGAGAAGTTGCCAAGAAGAACAGATATAGAGACATTATCAAACATATTGACAAGAAGTCCAAGTAAAGCTGGTGGTGTGTGACGTCTAGCAAGAGCATCCCAAATGACTCGTCGGTCTACTGTATCATAAGCTGCCTTTATGTCTAAGAATGCAACAACAGGATAATGGTGATGGCGGTGGAAGTGTGCTTTCATGAGGTCATGCAGACAGAGAGCTTGGTCCATGGCACCACGTCTAGGACGGAAACCACCCTGAGCAACATCCAGAGGAGGGGAAAACTTGTGAAGCACTGGAGAAATACACATTTCCATCAGTTTCCGCACAACAGAAGTTAGTGAAATAGGTTGATAGTTAGCAGCAATTGATGGATCTCCCTTTTTGTAAATGGGAAAAACTTGAGCCTGACGCCAAATAACAGGTACATATGACCATTGCCAACAGATGGTGAACAAGAGTGAGAGTAGTGGAGCAATTTGTGGTCGAATTACTTTCAACATTTCTGCTCTGATGTGATCTGGGCCTGGTGCCTTGCGGTTAGGCATAAATTGCATGCATCCCTCTACTACTGAAGAAACAAATGGCGAGTTGGCAGAGGCAAAAGGCAGACTAGTACTGTGAAGAGGAGGAGGAGGACGCTGATCTGGGAGGATACTGCCACTGTATACAGATGCAAGATGCTCACACATAATTGTTGCTGCTGTTGCTGGTCCATCACTATGTTGAAACATGTGCTGAGGCTGCCATCGGCGTTTGAGTAGCTTGATCTTTGATGTTGCTTTGGAAAAGTCTTGTTCCATTGATTTGCAGAAAGCATGCCATGATTGGCGCTTAGATGATTGCACTTGATGTCGGAATTCTGCCTGCGCTTTGAGATGCTTATCCCACCAATGAATTCTGTCTATACCACATGCACGGCGCCATTTCTTGTAGCAGAAATTGCGGTGCTCTGCAGCTGCTTGAAGTACTGGATTCCAGAATTTTTTCCAGTGGGAAGGACGGGGAGAACGGTTACCAATTGAGCTACTTAAAGAATTATAAATGAGTGAGTTGAATTCATCAGTTAGTGCATCAATTGGTGGACGTGAGGAAGGAGGGTGTTCGAAGGTCGATTGCAAAGTGGATTTGAGGTTGGTGGAATTAGTGACAAATGTGTGGGCATATAGTTTGAGAACATCAGGTTCTTGAAGATGTGAGAGGTTCCATGTTTTGCGAGATGGTGGTGGTGCATGTGATGTTGGATTGATGGCATATGTAAATGAAAGTGAAAGCAGACGGTGGTCAGAGTTGAGTGAGAGGTCGGTATGAATGTTGAGAGTGGCATTGATGAGGGACATATTAGTGATAAACAGATCAATGATACTGCTTATCTCCACATTTTGGTGGAATGAAATGAATGTAGATATGCATGGTGAGAGCTGGCCATTGACAACAGTAAGAGCACGTTCTTCTAACCATTGACAAAGAGCAAGACCTCGAGTGTTAGTAGCATAGTCACCAGTAAGTGAACCCAAACGTGAATTAAAATCGCCGCAGATAATAGTGTCATTGGTCAAAGGAATGGATGAGAGAACTGCAAGAGCATCATGGGTGGACATAGAGGGCGGTAAGTACAGGCATACAATTCTGAGGGAACCAATCTTGATGGCTAAAGCATAATTAGATGACATAGGAATCTGAGTGACAGGATAAGGACAAGATGGAGAAATAAGAACAGAAACACCCATAGAACCTCTGTAGTTGCCAGCTACAGGTGAACCATAAAGATGAATCTGGGACCAAGAAGTGGGGAGACGAGATGGGGGAAGAAGCCATGTTTCAGTGATAAAAAGCATATGTAGAGAGTGACAGTGTTGAAGAACATCATAAATTGCACGAGGCTGCAGACCATTAGCATTCCAAAGTCCTAATGAGATTTCACTCATTCAGACATTGCAACAGAGGTACGACAAGATGGTGATTGGAAATCATGAATACCAGCACCAGGACCAGAAACAGAATGGACAGGAATATCTTCCTTAGAGATCCAGCCTTGATCACAAAAGAAATGACCAACAGGAACAGCAACATGAGGACGAAGGTACTTGAGAGCCTTCATACAACGATCAGAATGAAGTTCAGCAGCAACTTCTTCTAGCTCTGAATCAGAAAGAGACTTATATTTGGGATCTGCAATGTTTTTGGGATCCAAAGGGTCAAACGCATCTAAGATCTCAATGGCAACTGTGGTCAGAGTGGTCTGGAATTTCTCAGCATACTGGTTGTGAACTAGGATGCCAACTACATCTTTGGCAGGAAAATTGATATCCAAGATGCGGCCAGTATCAACACCAAGTGTTTTCAAAGAGTTGCGCACTTCTCTATGTGTGAGACGACGTGAACGTGGGATATACACATATTGATATCCTTTGAGACCAGTGGGAATGGCAAACATTCTAGCAGAAGCAGCAACCTGGCGAACAGAAGGAGGTCTTGGAGTCTTGCAAACAGAAAGAGCAGTAGGAACAACAACAGAGTTGTGAGCAGCAGCAGCAGTTGTAGCCCATGTAGAAGCCTCAGTGCCAGGCTCCTTGGGTGTGGTTGGTGCAGATGATATTGATGCATTTGTTGTAATTTGGCAATTGCCCTGAGATGCTAATTGAGATCTGAGATCAGCAATTAGCTTTTCCGCATTAACTAATTGAGTAGTTAATCTAGCATTAGTTGCGGCAAGAGATTCAAGTTCATTGGTACGTTGTTGTAGTGACATGAATTGGGCCTGCATGTTCCCCAGAAATGAGGCGAGATCGGGTGACATTCCCTGCATGACAGAGGATGGCAGCAATGTTGACATTTGAGATCGCAAAAATGAAGAGTTGTCGGAATCGGCTGAAATTTTTTCTGCTGATAGATAAGGCAACAGTGGTAATGGATGCAATGTTTTTGACAATGGATGTAACGTTTTGAACAAGATGTAGGACGGATTGATGAAGCTTTTGTATGGATGCAACCAATTTTTTTGTTATGTCTTGTGTAACAGTAGCTTACGTGAAAGAGAGATTGGGGATGTAGCTCAAATGGTAGAGCGCTCGCTTAGCATGCGAGAGGCACTGGGATCGACGCCCAGCTTCTCCATTTTAGATGTTCTTGTAATTGTCTGATATTATTTTGATGTATCTGTAAAATCTGTAGATAGTTAACTGCAGTACTTTTTTATGCGCAGTAATATCTTTCTGAGCATTAACCGCAGTATAATGACTATTTCTTTAATTAAATATAAATAATAACTACTGCGGATAATGCGCAGTATTAGTTTAGAAAACTATATAAGACAATTCAATTCATATCAATAAAAAGTATCTTTTATCCTCTCTTTGATTTTACGTATACTCCTTGATCCCCAGTGGGTTTGACCTTTTGACTTTGTTATAGTAAAAGGAAGACCAACCCAGATCGGGAACGACAATTGGTAGCTGAAGCTATTTTTCCTCCTAAAGACCTTTGATGAATCCTGGTGAAAGACACCAAGAAAATTTTGACAAAAAGACACTTAGCCAGTTCGAGATTGAAGAACGAGTCCAGGACTTGTTACCCAAAGAACTAGTAAACGACTACAAGAAGAACCGGTGTGTACCACATATACCTGAAGAACAGAGACTCAAGAACACTCCTGCACGAGAACAAAAGTGGTCCGAACTTGCAAAAAAACTTGCCGCAACATTAACAGGAAAAAATAAAGAACTAGAAGAGATGGCCCCACAAACTGCCACCGTAACTGCTGAAGCAATCGCAGCCGCTGTTGCAGAAGCAATGAAAGCAATCACAGCACAACAGGAGTCCCGTGCCGAACGAATCAAGCAGCCTGATTGTTTCCGAGGTGAACGCTCCGCCGCAGTAGTAGATGGCTGGCTGCACGCAGTCGAGTGTTACACCAAGTACTACAATTTCGCCCCGACCAAAGCCTGCGATTTTGCAGTAAATCTTTTGCGCGATAGAGCTGACACATGGTGGAGACGCACAGAACTCAAAACAGACCATCCCACTACTTGGGTCGAATTTAAAGCAGCCCTCACCAGAGAATTCCGCCCAGTTTATTCCCTCCAGACCTCTAGAGATCGACTAGCACGATTACACCAGACTGGGACTGTTGCTGAATATATCGATGCCTTCCAAGACATTCAATTGGAATTGCCTGGAATGAACAATGAAGAGGCACTCGATAAATTTGTCCGTGGACTACACCCATCCATCCGTGGAAATGTCCCTGCTGCCCGCCCTGTTGATGTTGACAATGCTTGTAACATCGCCTTGGCATATGCCAGTGGTCTCCAACTCGGATACCAGAACAATTATGCGTCTGTACCACCTCCGCAACAATACCAGCAGCAGTACCAGCCACAGTACCAACAACAGCAATATCAGTACAGTGGACCCGAGCCCATGGACCTGGACGCAATCAACAACCGTCACAGCAACTACCAGTCTCGCCCGCCTCCAAGACGCACTAATGCTACTTGCCATTGGTGTGGTGACTCCGGTCATTTCAAGAGAAATTGTAGAGACCGTCTGGCCGCAATCAAGAAGTTGGACGAGGAGCGTCTTAAGAAGCAGGGTTTTTGCGAAGCACAACCGTAATGGGAGGTCGGTTGTGTACAATGGAAGAAAAATCCTCCCCACAGGCCAGTATTAGTAATGAGCCTACAGAACATTTAAGTAATAAAGAAACTTTTGACCAGTACAAAATTGTTACTAATGAAGAGAAAAAAGCCATTTCCGAAGAAAATTGTGACCCTTGTCTCACCACCAATCAACGTTTTTTGGAAGACCTTCACTCTGCTGTGGACACAGATTTACCATTATATGCGGCAACACTTCATGGACAACAAATCTTGATTCTCATCGACAGTGGAGCCAGTGCAAACTATGCGTCACCCTGGATCAAACACCTTGCCACAAAAGTCTCGAATATTCCTGGGCGATCAGTTGAAACCGCTGGAGGGCATAGCATCAAAATTAACCAGAAAGCCACACTAACACTTTCTCTTAATGATTATACTGATAGTGTTGATGCTTTTATCTTCCCCACTAAATTCGATTTGATTCTCAGCCGCACATGGTTACAGACTGCTAAACCTGTTCCTGATTGGCATCGAGATAACTGGTCTTTATATCGTGATGGCCAAGAGTTTGTCCTGCGTCCCCATGGCAACCGCCCCATGAAACCTCAACTTAATTACCTCATTTCTGCAAAGCAAGTCCAGAAACTCTCTTGGAGGGAGGAGGCAGAGTGTTTTTTGCTGCACATCAAGACCGAGAAAGAAGTAACCAACAATGAACAATGGATGAAACTAGTGAAAGAGTTTGACGATGTGTTCCAAGACGGTTTGCCAGGGTTACCACCGAGTCGAGATGTACAACATGTAATAAACACTGAAGATGCACACCCTGTAAACAAACCGCCTTTTAAGATGAGCCCCCGAGAACTTGACGAACTCAAAAAGCAACTCAAAGAACTCCTTGACCTTGGTCTCATTCGCCTTAGCTCATCTCCATGGGGTGCTCCTATATTATTTGTAAAGAAAAAGAATGGCGAAATGCGCATGTGTGTAGACTATCGTGCTCTCACACTGGAAAAATTAAAAAAATAAGGTAGTTTAAATATGGGGTATAGTGTAGTGTAATTTCCATATTTAAATTAGTTGATTTTTTTTTCCACTTGTGCTGAAGGTGACCTTCACAGATAGTGGAATGACTAGAGTCAACTAGCGGAATTGTGGGTGGGGGGTGCCGCAGGTAAGGTTTGTTAGCACTTTAGATATACTTATCTGACTTGATATATAAAAAGAAAGTTTTTTAAAACTGCGTATCTATTTTGATATTCTTTATATGGAACCATAAAGGTCAGGCACCGACATATTATGAAGATTAAAAGTAGCGTAAAGGTGACCTTTAAGCTAGTTTATTGTTAAGAAGTTTGGTCATCAGCAGCAAAAAAAGGCGTCTTTAAAATTATGGACCAGTAATATGTTCTTTATTTATTTGGTTTCCCGTTCTTATTAGGCTGGTAATGGTTTACGCTTTTATTTTTATTGGAAAGAATAGAATGTTTCTAGGTTTCAGATCTAATAATACTATTCTATATCTCTAGCTACTTCTTGCTCGGTCGGTTTGTTATATTTGGGATGAAAAATTTTCTACAAAAAAGAAATACCTAAAAAAAAATGAGCTGCTCAATACGTTTTTTTTGGGGTACGAGCAGTACTCTTTGAGAATAGATAAATCGTTAGTGATGGGTGTGCGTGTGTGTTGGATATTTCAATTCTTATAAACCATTAATACTTATATTGGAATTATCCAGTACAAAGACCAAACAATAAAATATTACAAGTAAAGGTACGGAATTTTGATTCCTTTGACTATGAAAATGATTGGAAAAAAGTAATTTTTGTGAATTGGGCGATATAATTATTAATTTACATACCCAAAGCAAACGGATTTATTTGCAGATATAGATAATACTTATCAAAAGTCGATATAGTATCTGGTAGTTTTTTTTATTAATAAACAGTATAAGTAATATAATGATACATATAAGGATAGTAAAAGAACAAAAAAAGTCTTACCATGTCAATGACAGCAGCATGAGATAGAAGCTTTTGATTCATAGCATGTTTTAGAGAGGGTTGTTCATCTATAGTAAAAATTGGATTCAGTTTGATTAATATTAAAGAGAAATATAATAAATAAATAGATAAAAATATTACCGTGTTAGTGGTTGTGTTTAGCTGTAGAAAATATTTTGGGTGATATGTCCTATAAAAAAGAAAGGAAAAAATCAGGATACTTTTATGAGATAATGGTATGAAGTATATTTACTAACCTTGACTAATCCGGATGGCCATTGTGAAGAGGATGCATCAGAAGGAAACTATACGCGAGTGACTATGGTAGCAGAAACACTTGTTATTACTCAGCTATATTTGAAGAAATTACTAATAAAGAAAAATAAAGAAAAAAAGCGCCTTACCAGGAACATTTGTAAGTATAAGAGTAAAAGAGAAAGAAAGAAGTAAAAAGAAAAGAGAGGGCGAGTGTCTATGGCAACTGAAACAACTAATTCTTTTTAGTTATATAAAAAAAGTACTTTAAAAAAGCAGATTAAAAAAAAAGACTAATAAAAAAATAAAAAAATGGGTGGAGACAGCGACAAAGAGTGTGTCTATGGCAACAGAATAAATAAATGCTTTTATTTTCTATAAAGAAGACTTTTTAGAAAGAACATGTCTTACACAAATAGTTCGCAAATATAATAGAAGTTGCAGAGATAGAGAAACAAAGAAAAGACCAATAGCAAATATAAAGAGCAAAAAAAAAGAGAAACAGGAACAACAACAAAAAAAGAAAAAAAAAAGTGCGTTTGAAACAAAAGACTAGACTGGTTTGATCAATTGGGTTCTAAAGCAGTATGAAAGCCGATTTGCATCTCAGTGATTACAAGAAGTATTAATAGAGACTTATATATCAAAGATATGCTGAATATCTATATAAACCATACGTTTTATACAATTTGTTTACTCTTTCTCCTGCTTTCTTGCTACTTATTGCACTCATACTCAAACACACACACATCAACCCATTTTATTTCAAATAATTTAAGTATGTAAATTTGATATAATTTATTTTTAATTCAATTCAATTCAATTGTATAATAGCATCAATAACAATGTAATCTAAAATTAACAGTTACATTTTTACCTTTTATTATATTCTGTAGACAATAGCTATTCAAAGATGTCAACTTGCTCTTCGTCCCGTTGAGATTACAAACGAACAATTGATGGAAATTCTTTCTACTTTGAAAACTAATATGACAGCCATGGGAACCAACATGGCAGCTGACATATCGATTGTACAAGAACAAATTGGCACTGTTGAAGATACATTGCTAAACATGAATAGCAGAATTGGTGTTCTTGCCACCAGCAGCACTGAGACAATCACTGCTATTGACAGTTTAAGCAGGGCCCCCCTCGTTTCCCCTACCAATACAATGGCTAATGTTTCTCAGCCTGCCTTCAACGCCCCGTCTGAGTTTAGCAAGAAGGCCTCTAATGATGTTTATGTGAGTATCAACGTGTGCAAAATTTTATCGATGTATTTTCTCATATATTCTATCAGGCCCATATTCGTAATCTCATGTGGGATCCCAAGCTGAAAACAAGAAATCAAGCTGATATCCTGGCAAATGAGAGTAAGCCCAGATGGAATACAAATGTTTTCTTTTACAAGTCGCCAAACAAGGAGTTGGTGGTGCTACTTCTTGAAAACTTGAAGCGCAAGTTTACCCATGAGGGATTTAGAGAGGCAGACTTGAGAGCAAGACTGCACAAAAACTTCACCAGCCGGGTTTCAAAAGCAAGAAAAACCGAAGAGGAAATAAAAGCAACAAACACTTGTTTGAGAAGGGCAGGACGTGCCAGAGATGTAAGTGTAATCTCTAAATAAATAATTTCAAAATAATATAGTTTAGTCTTGAGAATTTTAAAAATACTAATACAAAAAAACTACTATTAGAATCATACTCGCCGTTTACTTGCATACACAGACAACAAAGAAGCAATTGATCTACAAATGAAGAGAGATTGTGACTTCACGATGCAAATGGCAGCAATGTCTGATGGAGAATCTGCAGATGAAGACTTCGAGAATCGCACGAAGAGCATCGTCAAGATTGTTCGGCCAGGATGGAGAAGTGACGAGGTATATTATTTTATATTAATAATTATGTCTTATTATAAAAAATATAAAGTGAAGTATTTGTTGTAAATGAGTATTGGCTACTGCTGTAATTGAGAATAAGTCTGAAGGAAATAATATAAGGCCTCAGCTATTCCAGTCAAAGGTGTCTACCGATTACTTTATTATTTAACACACAGGTTTAGCATGCATGATAGTGATTATATTTCATATGATGATATCACCATAATATGGGATACATCAGTAGATTATTATAAGCATAATTATAACTTATAAACACATTTACTTTCGATGTTAATACTTCATTGGGACTACACACATTTATATAATTAATCATACATTAATTATCCCAAGATCACGTTGCTCTGATTAAGGCTCAGATAGGATCGATTACCTGACCCCAGTCATATAATTTTCCCAATCCAAAACAATATAAATAGCAGTAGTAGTTCAGTGTAGGAACCTGGTCAAACTTTGATAAAAAATCTTTCTCAATAAACAAAACCTACACAAGTTCTCACGAATCTTCGTTCCTAATTTCAAATCTTCAATTCTTCCTCTTAAAAACTTCTTCAACTTCAACCACCACAACAGTATTAACAAAATCATTTTAGTTCAATACTCTCATTAAACTCGTTGATGAGTATGTTATTGAAGCAATGGGGTCAAGTGCTTCTCAAATGAAGGAGAGGGTTTTCACCAGTGTGTCTAATACAGCAGTCCCAGATGACATAACCCCCAAATTTCTTCAGTGGGCCCTTAGAGACGGGTATTAAATAAACAAAAATTGCCTCTCTCTTTTTATCTATATATTACTTTTCACATACAAAATACTATCAATATATATATCAGAAATACGCGCTCTGTTTTTTTTGTTA